AACCCTTCCCCACTTCACAAACATGGCTTTACCGCAATGGGTGCAAATGGAAAAACAAGCCATAAAGCCCTTTGATGTACCCACCATACTGTGGCTTCCTAAAAAATTTCGACCGGAAATTCCACAGATGCCATCGCAGCTGCAAATAGCAGTCAAGGCTTGGGACAAGCTTAGACATAAACTAGTAACCCATACCCCCCTGTCACCAGCCACCCCGCTCAATACTATCACATACTGCATCCCAACCTTTAATGCCAAGCCATGGATAGCTAAAGGGGTCACACACCTACACCAAATACTCGCGCATAACAAACTAAAAACTTTTCCAGCTCTACAAAAAGAATTCCATATACCAGAGGCCTCCCAATTCTCTCACATACAATTAAGCTCATTCATGCATAAACACGCAGAGAAGACCTCCACCCCAGACGAAAACCCACTCGGTATGACGAAATGGGAACAGACAACCACTAGGGGTTCATGGGCACCGACATTTAAGCCACTATCCTGGTGCTATCAACTCATCCGACCCACGCAACACTTTGCAGATTCCAACCCAGCCAAGCACTGGGCAAAAGACCTACAGTGCCACATAAGTAAAGATCATTGGGAGCGTGCTATAGTGACGACTAAAAAATTAATTAAGTCAGAAGTGCTACTGGAGCCATATAGGAAGACCCTATATAGGTGGTACATGGTACCCGTTCGCTTACACAAGCTATACCCAGGTTCATCCCCGGAGTGCTGGAGGTGTGGAAAGGGAGAGGGTACAGTACTTCACATCTGGTGGCAATGCGAACTAATCACCAGCTTCTGGCACAACATACACCGCCTAATCCGAAACGCAACATGCACCAAGCTCCCCTTCACACCCATAACGAGTCTTCTACTACACATGCCAAACAACACACCTAAAGAGATACAGAAACTAGCCTCCCACATCCTTTTGACAGCTCAGAGGGCAATAGCTAGGTTATGGAAATCTCAGAGACCACCACAAGTGGCAGAGGTCTGCAAAGACGTTGATACACAACACCTATATGAAACCTGCTACCGAGGGGTCCTCCCCTTGACAGACACAGCAGCTGAGGCTTGGAGGCTGTGGGAAGTGAGAAGAACAGGAGACCCCCCGATGGCTAAGCCACTAGACGTGCTAGACTCCCAGGGTCAATCACCAGATAACGATAGACAGACGAGTAACAATACACCATGTTAGAGACAAATGAAGGAATAGTCAGACATACAAATTTAGAGAATGTATGTAGTTATATGGCACAACCGGAGATCTCAAAAAATTGTGAATGTGAACATTGATGTAAAAAGCTTGGTATGAACCCCCTCTTCCCCTGCCTGCCTTCGTTCTGTACCCCCTCCCCTCCCCCATGTCATGTTTTATGTTTACGGCATTGCCAAGATGAAAATCAATAAAAATCTTTAAATGGAAAAAAAAAACTGTTTCAAACAGATGCTAATTGCAGCCAAGTGCTGGTCTGATCTTAGTCAGATGGGGGCCCTAAAGTAAAATAAGGGGGACCTATTGTCCTCCCCCCGGCCCTTACCCATGAGCGGTGGGTGGGGGCTCTAAATTTGAATAAGGGGGGGACCTATTGTCCTCCCCCTGGCCCCCACCCCCGAGCAGCGGGTGGGAGCCCTAAAATAATGGGGGAGACATATTGTCCTCCCCCCCAAGCCCCCACCCCTGAGTGGCGGGTGGGGGCCCTAAATTAGAATATGAGGGTGACCTAATGTCCTCCCCCCTGGCCCCCACTGCTGAGTGGTGGATGGGGGCCCTAAATAGCAATTAGGGGGGGCAGGGCCGGACTGGCCCACCGGGATACCGGGAAATTTCCCGGTTGGCCGCAGCACCTGGGGATGGGCTGACAGCCCTAATCAGTGATCAGGCTCCTGTAATCCTGGCCAGCCATGTGTGAGCTGTGGGCCGCACAGGGCCACATGGCCGGCCGGAATCATTTAAAAAAAATTAAATAAATATTGCGGCGGGCGGAGCTTAGCATGTGACGGGGAGGAGCTTAGTGTGTGGCGGAGCTTAGCGTACGGCGGGGGCTCTGGTAACTGCTGCATGGGAAGCAGGAAGGAGTCCCTGCTTCCCCAACAACCAGCCTCCAGGAGCTCCAAGGGATGTGGAGGTAAGAAGCAGGTCAAAGTGTCTGTGTGTGACTGACTGTGTGTGTCTGTGTATGTGTGACTGCCTGTGTGTGTGTGTGACTGTGTGTGAGTGTGTGACTGTCTGCCTGTGTGTGTGTGTGTGTGACTCTGTGTGTGTGTGTGTGCTTGTGCGCGCATCTGCTAGTGAGGGAGCCTCTGTGTGTGCACCTGCTAGTGAGTTTGTGTGTGTGTGTGTGTGTGTGTGTGCCTGCTAGTGAGTGAGTTTGTATGTGTGTCAGTGAGCTTGTCTGTAGGGATCATATGTGTGTGTGTGCATGTTAGTGAGCTTGTCTGTAAGGAGCATGGGTGTCGGAGCCTGTCTGTGGTGAGCATGTGTGTACAGTGAGCTTGTCTGTAGTAAGCATGTGTGTGATCGTGAGCTTGTCTGTAGTGACCATATGTGTGTCAGTGAGCTTGTCTGTAGTGAATCTGTGTGTTAGTGAGCTCTTCTGTAGGGAGCATGTGTGTGTCAATGGGCTTGTCTGTAGGGAGAGTGTGTGCGCATCAGTGAGATTGTCTGTAGTGGGCATGTGTGTGACAGTGAGCTTGTCTGTAGTAAGCTTGTGTGTGTATTAGAGTTTGTCTGTACTAAATTTGTGTGTGTGCCAGTACCTTGTCTGTGTGTGTCATTGAGATTCTGTCAATGAGCCTAATTGTGTGCATCAGTAAGATTGTCTGTGTCTGTGTGTATGCTTTACTGTATAATTTAATTACTGTGAAAGAACTAATATTTTGAACTAGAAGAAGAAATGTATCAATAATATATATATATATATATATATATATATATATATATATATATATATATATATATATATATATATATATATATATATACATATATATATATATATATATATATATATAAAAAGGCTGTTGTACCTTGCACTCAGGCTTCAAACTTGTGTGACCGGGTGCATCACCAGGGCTCCAGTATCCAGGCAATTGAAATAGTTGGCTGCACTCTCAGATTTCCTTAAAACGTAACTTTTATTGAAATATTTAAGAGAAGATCAACGTTTCAGCCCCTCTTGTGGACTTTCACACTGGCTGCACACTGGCTGCTCACTGTTTACTAGACATGCCGTGGTATAGCGAGTAGGGGCTGAATTTACTAATACTAAGTAATCTTTAGGTCTTTCAGCCTTTTGGTAGATAGCTCCCTAATACCGTAGGAATTAGGGAGTTATCTACTAAGCAGCTGCAAGATGCAGCCTCCGGAATTAATAGGATTGGAGTTTCATTCATTCGAGTCCCGAATTGCGTTCTAACACGAATGGAGAAACTGTTCTCATTCTGTTAGGACGCAATTCGGCAGTTTTGTCAAACGCTTGTTGATTGGCTGCCCTGCAGCTTTTTAAAAGGTGCCATTAAATCGCTGAACGCCGAACTCGAACCCGAACTGTTACTGAAATGTCCGGGCTCGGGTTCAGGGTCAAAAAATCGTAATCGCAATTTTACAGTTCTGGTTCGCTCAACTCTACTCCTGATGTAATGCTGTTGAATGTATGTCAAATTTCACTACACTACTTATCTGTAACGGACCAGTGTATTTTTGAGTATTAAATCTCTAATACAAGACAAATAGGAGAATTTGGCTCACGTCTGAAAAAGAAAAGTGGTGGATCCTCATCAAATCTATACATTCTACTGGCCAAGCAGGAACGAATAAATAAATTAACTCCCAATTCAAATACTTAAAAATTATTGTTGATATTCAAAATCTAATAAAAATTGAAATTAAAGAATATTGCATAAAAGTCTTGAGCAATTAAAGCAAGGATGGTATTTAAATAATAAAAAAGTTCAAAAAGTACTTTCTAATAAATTAAAAAATTTTTTTTTTTATAATTCTTTATTTAGTCGTGCGATACTAAAACAATTTTACCTATTCTGCCACAACAGCAGAGGTAGGTTATGAACAAGCATACAATTGCGAGGCATAGGTAATTAGAAACGATTATACAACACTTTTTATGGTATATCTTCTGCATTTGATAGGACATGTCGGTGATGAGGTGAGTGCTGTTCGGGTGCAACACGGCATGTCAGTGCTCATGGGATGGATCTAAGCTTATAGTTGCGGGTCTGAGGCTAGGTGTGGCGCTAAGAAGTTCTTCGTTGTAGGTAAGTTGTGTCGTTAGCTCAGGTCCCTGCTCCTGATAAACAATACCTTGTAAAATCTCCAACTAGGTGTGTCGCCGTTGAGGGGTGGTGTCAGTCTTTGATTTTGTGACAAGAGGGTCAAGAGTGTGTTTAGCTTCCCTTCGGCTACACTCCCGTGTTTGCGTGTTTCACTAGGGCTTATATGTATTGTTTTGCTAGTTGTGCCCCTAACCAAAGGGGCGGCGGGGGGGGAGGGGGGTTGGTAGGACATCTCGTAATGCTGTCTGAGGCAGTTCTGGGTGCCCTGAAGGGGGGGTCCCCGTTTGTCATGTGAGTATAGATAGAAAGCTTTGTCGTGCATGTTGGGGATGGTAGGTGTCCTGAGATATTCAACTTATATACATAGAAACCAACATTCGCCTTGCTATTATCTGTGTGGGCCGACTACTTATAGTCTTTTTTTATTTTATTTGTAGTGTCCTTGGTGTTGTTGTCCTCTCGCTGTATTTAGATAGGCTAGCGGTGCATCTGGTCGGTGCTTTAAGCCAAGGGAGTGCCATTCTCCAGGTCCCTCAGGCCCTCTGATGTGTCTACAGGTGTCAGTCCCAGCGTTTCCAGAAAAGATGAGGCTTCCGCAAGCGAGGTAAGTGTGAGGGTAGTCCCATTGTGTGTAGTTAAGAGTGAGCCCGGCGCTCCCCACCTGTAGGTGATATTGGCAGTACGTAGTTGTTGGGTCACTGAATGAAGTGATCGGCGCCACTGTAAGGTGGCCCTCGTTAAGTCCTGGTAAAAGGTGAGACTCGAGTCTTCAAACATTAGCGGGGTCTTGCCCCGCAGCGCCTTCATTATTTGTCCCTTGTCAGAGGACGATGCACAGCGAAGTATAACATCCCGAGCTGTTTGTGAGGCGGCTCTTGGGGGGCCCGCGACCCGGTATAGACCATCAATCACCATTTTTCTTGCCGCCGCTGGAGGTAAGATTGTTGCCAGTAGCCTTCTTGTGTAGTGCGGCAGCTCGTCCGTGTTGATCCCTGCAGGGATACCACGTACCTTGATGTTGTTTCGTCTATGGCTGTTCTCGAGGGCATTCAGGTGTAAGGCCATATTGTGGTGGGATTTTTGAAGCTGGTGTACCGAGTCTTGCACTTTCGTTAGGTTAGTGGTAACTTCGGCTATATCAGCCTCTGTGGCCTGTACCCGGTCCTTTGTGCTTTGTAACTCTGCTTTTATTCCTGTTAGTTCTTGCGACAGGATTTTGTGAAAGTCATGTAAGAGGATTTGTAGGTCATGTTTAGTCGCTGGCAGTGATCCCTCCAGGGGTGCTGGTGGTGCTGTATAGAGGTTGTTACTCTCTCGTAGTTCAGCTTGAGCTGTTTGGGTAGCACTAGGCTGATGTTCCTCTGGGGCCTGTTTGGGCCTAGCAGGCCGCTGAAGCATGGCCCCGATGTCTCTACCTTCTATCTGGGTTCCAGCTTTCTGGGAGCGTCGCCCCATTGCAGGCATGAAGTCTCCCGAGTCGGAGGGGGATCCGATGCCAGGGATGTTTGTAGGGCTTTGATAGGCTCCACCATAGAGCGCCGCCAGGGTAGGCAGTGTGTACGTGGAGTAGGCCCCGGGCTTGCGCTTCTGTTTCGGCGTCTTTGTTCTCGCAAAGAAGGGCATCTATCGATGCAGCGCGGGTTCCCAGGTCGGTGTTTGTATTTGGGGTGCTGGGATCAGGCTTGATGTTCACGATTTTGGCGAGATATTAGTTTAGTTGTCGGAGCTGTCAGAAATGGCGTCTGATCAGCTCGGCAGTTGGCTCCGCCCCCCAAAATTAAAATTTTAATAACAAAATTAATGAATTAATAAAATGAAAACAGGAAAAAAAATGTTCAATCTCTCTTTAACAAATAGGAGAGGCATTTAAAGTATACTATGAATCTGTATATAATATAAATTAAGAAATATAAGACGAGATCCAGTTAAAATGAATAAGATTTTTTACAAAAATATTATCTGGCAAAAATCCATCTGGACAAATTGGAGATTTTCAATAAACCCTTTAGTATTAGCGAGATGTATTATACAATAAGAGGGTTAAAGAAAGGGAAAGCTCTAGGACCCGATGGAAGTTCTGCAATTTTTCATAAATCATTTGAAGATATAATTTTCCCTTTGTTTTTATCATATATAACTGAGTTTACATCCCCCCCAAAAAATAATTCCACAGGATCTATTACAAGCAAAGAAGAGTCTGGACAAGGAAGAATCCAGACACTCGGTTGAATTACCACCTAATCTCTCTAATTAATCTCTCTAATTTAGCTGGATATTAAGATATTTTGTTTTGTTTTTTTCTGATAAACGATGTTAATAATATAAGGGAGAAACTCTTGAAATAAGGGTTCTGCACTAATAGCGTAAGAGGTCACTAATTTTAATGGGTCATGCATTAACAATAGAAATTTAAAGAATTTTATGTGAGGATGGTTTCACTATTAGAAGAATTAAGATACAATGGGAAGGGGTGATATATTTCAAGGACATGGAGGGTGTTCTAAAATCAAGCTGAGTTAAAATAAGGATATATGCACATCAAGAAAGGGTTTGTTTCACTGTTTAAAAATCAAGTTTATTCCCCACTTGGGCAAGCAGGATAGAAGGATAACCTATACATAGCTTAATTATTTCACTTACATTTTTTAATAAAAAAAAAAATGTTTTGTCCTGATAGGAGTTCTTTACTAAAGGGAAAGATGTTGAGAAGATTACACAATAGTGCAATAGGGTTTAGACATAAGACACTGAAATGTATGAAACTAATTATGGAAAGGATTATATATACTCGAAAAAAATGTTTAAGGTTAAATAATGAAATTGTGTGTTATATATTAATATAAGATATAATAGGTAGGGGGAGATATATCACAAAGTAGGGAGGACTCTCTATTATTGAGTCATCCTACTACAAAGACAATGCACAGTATAAAGAATTTATCACTGTTTAAAAATAAGTTTAAACACATAAAGCCTATCCCTCCTTTGGGAAAGAAGTATAGGATGGACGATTTTTTAATAATCTAACCACTTTAAATAATTACAGTCTAACCACAATAGAAACATTTTATTTGTGTTTCGCTTATTTCTCTCTTTCCTCTCCTTTTTCTTCTCATTATATATCTGAATTGGGATAAACAGATTTTATCTTAAATTGCTTCCTTCCAACCGCTAAGGCGGTTGCTTACAGTTGGCTTACACCTAACCCAAGGTGATGCAAAACAAGAGGGAGGGCCAGGTTCTCCCGGGCAAGGGGGTCAGTGGGGGTTTATGTTTGTTATACGTGCGATTTTCATGTTATTTTGTGTTCATTGGTGGTCATTTTTAGGTCTGGGTCTTCAGATGGAACTACTGAGGGGATTTAAAACTGCAGTAAGGAAGATATATGATAAAATTAGTATCCCTAAATGCTAGAGGCTTAAATTCCATGCAGAAGCGAAATATTTTTCTTAAATTTCTAAAAGATGAGGCAATTACGATTTGTGCAGTCCAAGAGACTCACTGGTGCCCGACGGATAAACAATGGCTAAAGTCCAAAGAATATCCATACATTTTTGCTTCAATCTATGGTTAATAAAAAGAAAAGAGGGGTAGCTACACTTATTTCAGCAAAGGTTGCCTTTAAATGTATCTATCAGGAAGAAGACACAGAAGGAAGGACTCACATATTAATTTGTGAAATTAAAAATCAAATCTATACAATTATTACCATCGATGCCCCTAATCAATAACCTATCCATCATCAAATGTGAGATTTACAAGGAGGGAAAACAGTACACCTCTCTGAACAGTGTCTGGGAGGCTGTGGTTGCTGCTGCACGCAATGTTGATGGTAAACAGATCAAAACACTGACAGAATCCATGGATGGTAGGCTTTTGAGTGTCCTTGCAAAGAAAGGTGGCTATATTGGTCACTGATTTGTTTTTGTTTTGTTTTTGAATGTCAGAAATGTATATTTGTGAATGTTGAGATGTTATATTGGTTTCACTGGTAATAATAAATAATTGAAATGGGTATATATTTGTTTTTTGTTAAGTTGCCTAATAATTATGCACAGTAATAGTCACCTGCACACACAGATATCCCCCTAACATAGCTAAAACTAAAAACAAACTAAAAACTACTTCCAAAAATATTCAGCTTTGATATTAATGAGTTTTTTGGGTTCATTGAGAACATGGTTGTTGTTCAATAATAAAATTAATCCTCAAAAATACAACTTGCCTAATAATTCTGCACTCCCTGTACAGTTAATGTCCTGGTCCAAGATGAAATATGAAATAATCATGGAATATGGTAAGTATAAAACCATTGCCTCTGCTAAGAAAGCGCTTTATAACTTAAAGTGCCGTCCAGATCAAAGCCCCAGAGAATTTTTAATAATTCTCAAAAATGCATACTCCGTGGCCCAAAGAAAACCCAGGTATGAAAGCACAGACTTCAAAGATCTGTATTTTCATGCCATGCCGGTAAACATACAAATGAATCTCGCAAGAGATTACGATTGTAAGTTGCCATTAGAATGGCTAGTCAGTCAGTGTATGAAATTGTATACTATACACCATGCACATGACGAAAATCAGCCAAAGGTTAAGAAACCTGGTGATAAAATGGTGTCAGAGACTAAAATTCAGTTAGGTTTAGAAACCCAACAGAAAAAGAGGACCTATTCCGAGGTTTTGAAAACACCAAAACCTCAGAAACAGGAAAACGCCAGAAGCAATTCTGCAAATTCCTCTAATAACTCTGAAAAATCCAATGCCAATGGGAATAAACGCCCCTGGGTTAATAAGAACCAAGGCAATTCCCAATGGAGAAGGAATCCTCAGGGAAATAGGAGATATGGAAACAGAAATAACCAATCTGCTTCCAATAACTCCCAACAGTCTCAGCCATCCCAACCAAATTCTAATGGGCAAAGACAAAACGGCAATGGGGGAAATAATTTGCGTCGTCAGGTTGGTCAATTAACAGACTAGATGGGCAAATTAATGGAGGAAATGACAAAGATTAACCAAGTCTTTGCTCTCAATCCTTTTTTAGGGATAGCTCCAATTGCAGAACTACCTGTGCAACCGCAGCAACAACAACAGGTGCAGCAGCAATAATAGCTTCTGTGACTAAACAGGCTAGGTTATCAGTAGATGTAATGCCTAACCCTGTTTCCTTTCCAGGTACTCACAGTCAAATAAACAATAGTGGTGTTAGAAAACCTATTGCCTATCCCGTCACTTCACTTCCGGGTGAAGGAGGCGCAACGTGTTCCTCTGTTTTTTCATTTCAACCAAAGGCTAAAGTAGCCCCAGCAGCCACTAGTTTCCAGGATCCAGACCTGAAAGGGTTAACTGATGAGATGCTGACCACTAGTTCCCGCTTGACAGTTCAAGTTATTCCTAAAAAGGATGGGCCTGTGAGTAAGACTGAGCATTCCTCAGTACAGGTAGAAACTACTGCTGTGACCGGTAATGTATGGAAAACAAGTAATATGTTGACACATTCTAAATTATTATGTGAATTAGAAGAACATGAAGGAAGGTACTACATGTCTGTAGAAATACAGGATTCGTTACCCCAGCCTTTTAAAGGGTTAATAGATACTGGTTCACAAGCCACTATCTTATCCAATACCTACTTCCAGCAGGTAATGGACTTAGCAACGGATAAACCAAAGCTAAGAGATTTCCCCAATGCTCTGTTGAGTGTAGGAGGAAATGCCCTTCATGTTATTGGCAATACCTGGTTAAAGTTTAAAATAGGTAACAAAACCTTTAGACACCCTGTGATAGTGGTAGATCTCCCCTATGACCGACTGATTCTGGGTATAGACATACTCAGAAGACTTAACACAATTATTGACTGTGTAAATGGAATTGTATGGTCACAAGCTAAAGTTCCCATAAC